TCTACATCCTGACACAACCCTATTTTCATTTCACTCTTTCTTCCACATTGGCCCCACTTCTCACAAGCAGCCCCTAATTGAAGGCCTGCCTGGGGACACCTGGAATCCAGTTTCTTTCAAAGGTGCTGAGCCCTCCCAACTGCTCTTGCTGTCAGCGAGAGCTCCACAGGCTCAGCATCTCTGAAGACCTCTCAGATTGGAAACCCACACTCAGATGCCCTTCTCAGCCTTTCTGCATCTTGTGTGAATTTTTCATGCTGCAGTAGGGAAAAGTATTAAGGAAACATAAGGAATTAGAACACCACACACGAATGGAGATTAGGAGGCACTTTACAAAACTCCGTGCAGTTCAACCTGAGGCCATCCCTTGCTGTATTTAAGAAACACAGAGATACAGACAAGGTGTGACCAGGGCACATTGGGACTGTGGGTGCTGGCCAGTGAGGCCTCAGGGCTGTGTTATTCTGGATGTGTATGGTTTTAATATCTGTTCTTTCCCTGACTATAGGTGTATGATGAGGCCTATCATGCTCTCCACAAAGAGCTGCCTGAGGTCAGCACTGCTGTCTTTAAAGAAATACTGACCTGGATCGGTCAGAAGGTCGCAGCTGCTGAAGAATCCAGCCACACTTAAGAGTAACCATCTTGCTACCTGCTAAGTGGTCACGGGGATCTTCTGGGGATGGAAGCTTTTCTTTAAAAAAAAACGTCTCTTTTGGAGAAGATGTAGATCGGAGGGACTCCTGGAATGTTTTTCTCTGAATAGCGCAGGAGGGACACTCCCGTCATTTAGAGAGGCAATTGCCCTAAAAGAGCAAGGGAGGATGTAGCAGTGGGAGCCCCCATTATAAACTTTCCAGGCTGGGCATTACACTAAAGAAGCCTTCCCCCATTCCCTCCCCCCACAATCAATCTATTGCCCTTCTTCTTTGTTCACCCTGGGATCCCTGATGTACCAAGGGTGTATTTATACTGCAATAATCTTTGGAACGTCACTAGTTCAGCATCTTCCATTTTGTACAATTTCTATGCCAGCCATGGACAGTTGCTTCCCTGTCCCCTCAGTCCTAGCCTACGCTGTATAAAAAGTCCTTGTCCTTGAGAGGCGAAGACTGGTGAGTTAGCAAGGAGCATATGGGAGGTGGCAGGTGCTGAGCCCAAGTGGGATCCTTCGGCCCTTGAAGGTGAAAGGCTTCTTTCAAGGTCTGACTGATTTAAACATCGCCTCTATTCACACATAATAGGGAGTACATAGTGACCCCCCACCCTTCAAGTTTGCACTTTGGAAAAGCATGTTTCATAGGTCTTTAATTCCCAGCACTGTGGCAGCACTGCAGGAGGGAGAGGACTAATGCCAGAAAAAATACTTAAAAAACTACAAAGCACATTCAAAATCAGACTACTTCCAACTACTTCTCCCCTCTGCAAGATGAACTTCTCTGTAAATAGTCTTAGGGGTTACTTTGTTAATTAATTACTTGTGCTACTGATACTTAAGAGGTAAAGTCAAAGATTTATTTAAGAGAAACTATTGATATAATATATATTCTGTGTGTATAGGCAGCTTGGAGCTGCGGAGAAGGAAAGGAGCAGAGTTTAAAGAAAGAAGGAGAATCAGTTCCCATCCTGTTCTGTTTCCACCATGGCCAGAGGAGTGTTGACCCACCAAGGTCCACTCCTTTCACCATAGTTTTACAGGAAGGATCTGGTGTCTTCCCTCATCAGTTGGAGAATGGCTTGAAAAATGCTAGAGACCCAAGCTCAAAGCATCTGGTGGGAGGGGAATGAGCAGCGTACATCCTCGCAGTCCACCGCTGGATAGCCAGATATGAGCACTGCAATACTAGGACTACCCATACCACCATGCCCAGGCCAGATTGACACTGCTGAATCCGTCACAGGGGACAGCCATTCACAGGAAAGCTTCCAGATCCATCAGATTCTCATATTAGATGATAGATAGATCCTAGGAAAGCTTTCTATGTGAAGACTCTCTCATTTGGAGATAAGGTCACAGGGCATGTCCGCCTCAGGCATTATACCAGTATAACATAATTACACCAGTGGTGTGCTGCTGGAGTGCTTCGCCTTGGAGCAAAGCCCTAATTACTAATTGACCTCTGCCCGAGTGCAATAGCTAGAGCTCCAAAAGGAAGGAATTCAACTTACCCCTCTCGCGCCTTGTGCGTTACAACAGGCGTTCTGGAAGGAGAGGGGAAAGGATTTAAACCCAGAGAAAAACAATAGCTTCCACGATAGTAGGGAAACAGCCTCCTGAAATGGGCATTTCACAGAAGCTGGAGTCACCATGGTTTCCCTTGCTGCCTACCCTCTGCCTCTTGCCTGGAGGAAAGATGGGGGCATTTTTCACCTGAACATCTTCACAACAGGATCAGTGGCTTATAGGCATCACACCCATACTGCTTCAGTTTCACCTTTCGGAGCCAGCTCGTGGCAGGAATCAGGAAAGGAAACCTTGTGCAATAACAATCAGACTAACTTTAATTAGGTCTGATCTGTCCTCTAGTGAGTATGTGAATGTGAGAAGGCAGTGGACCCACAGCTTTGTCCGTGTAGCTGTTTAGTAGATCCAGTCAGATATTCTGATTTCGACAGACCAGCTCTGGCATGTGTATGCTTGTGGCTTCCTGCCTGCCAAAGAAGAGATGGTTGTAGTTCTCACCAGCTCAGTTGCATTTGAATTCAAATGCTTGCCCAGCTCTTACAATCAACTGCTACCCCCAGCTCTTCTACTGCCCCACCTGCTCCATTGTATTGATTTGTTAGGACATCTTTCCACTAAGAGTAGGTTCCCCTGACAGTTGCCATGAGCTGGGGAGAACAAGTGAAAATGGAGAGGTGGGAAACTCTGCCTGCCTCTTAGGCTTGTAGGGACCTTTGGTGTGAGCCAAGGGTAACAGATGTTCAGGCAAGATGGGGAGTAGCAGAAGTCATTTATAAATAAAAAGAAGAGATTTAAGAGGGGAGGAGATTTGCCAGAGCACTTGGTATTAGCACAGATCCACTCCCATGGAAGTACAAAGGAGTTTTACTGTTGACTTCAGCGGGAGCAGTGCTGAGCACTTTGAAGTCTCTCCCTAAAGGGATAAGCACTTAAAAGAAAAGGGAACTAACTCTAAAGCATCAAGGTCGGAGTCCTGCTGCTCCCAAGACCCTGGATGTAGCCAAAGGAAGGTCTGTGGTTAGTGTCTTTAAAAAAGTGTTCTTCAGGCTGGTCCTCCTGAGCTCTGAAGCACTAGAGAAAAAAAGATGATGATCGAGAGATTTAAAAAAAATCTCTCCAGCTAAACTCAGCAATGTCCTATGGGCTGAAGATACTGCACTGGACATTAAACAAACCCCAAATTAAATGGAGATTGCCATGGCGTTCAGCCACTTTGCTGAAGAACGGTCTTTTAGGAAACTGCAACTGGGAGACCCAGCTGAAGCACGAAGGCTAGTTTCTAACAGACTTAAATTAACATCTCTCTCACAGCTCACCCTTAAATCCAGTGGCAAAGGGCCAAACCCTCAGGTGGCGCAAATCAGGGTTTAAAACAATCAGACAGCTGGGTGTAAATCATCATAGGTTCTCCTAGATCCTGTGAGCTGCAGTGATCTTCTCTATATCAGCTAGGGATCTGAGCCTCAACCTTTCAGTTTGTGCTCTTTAGATGAGCCATTGTCACATATCCAAACTGGTTTACACTGACACATCACATAGGAAATCCCTTCACGGGGGACTTGGCTGGCAGCAGGCAGCACTGCCACTTATGGGAATATAATACTTTATTTTCAAATAGCGTGCACCGTTTCTGAGGAGCACTGCTGGCCTTATGAACTTCCAGATTGCTGTGCTGAAATAAACAGGGACAAGTCTGCCTTTGAGAACAGGGTGCATTTATGACAGCAATAGTAGTCTGTAACTATTGTAGATACCACTACCCATACTGCGCATAGCACCAGACGACCATATCCTCAATGTATTATCCACCTGGTTTTCTATTTAGCCTGCTCTTTTTATATTGGCCACTCTGCCAGCATAAATTTGTTGAGATCACACTTATTTTTCCAAGTAATTTCTGAACCTGTCTTTTGTTTGACTGTACTCCAGTTAAAAAAAAAATATATATATATATATACACATATATATACACACATATATATATACACAAACACATACATACACATATTTTCAGTGGGAATAATGTGTTCAGGCTTAACATTCTGAAAGGAACACAATGTATACTGCAACTAATAATAAAGTTATGTTTTATGAATGTGGTGTGTTTGGGGGCATCATTTGCCAATGTCATCAGACTGTACAGAAAGAATAGAAAAGAGAGAAGCTAATAAACTACCATAAGGGGAAAATACAACAAATCCCAGCCAGTGCAGAACTGCACTACCTTGAGTGCAGTGGCGGGGTGGGAACAACCTGGAGATCTTGCCATCCTAGTGGGACACCAGTCCTGCTGTGTGATGGTGTAGACACCTTCCTGTTTGAAGGTCAATTTTCCTAAGTTCCCCAAACCCACATAATTAGGCTTGTCCTGATCTTTGGTGTTTTGTGAGCGGGCAGGGCAGGGTTAGAGTTTCAGAGAGAGGGGCATTTGAGTAAGAAATTCCCACTCTGTCACACCCCCTGACACGAGCCTGTCTCAAGGGTAAGAGGTGCTAACATCTTACACAGAAGTGGGACATCAAGCCGTGGCTCTGCTCATGCCCCATTGCTTGATATCTCTCTCAGCTGGTGGCTGGAACCCTCTTCCCTGTTGCAGAAGCATCATTAACAAGAGCATTCAAAGGTTTTGGGCCATCTAGAGAGGTTTCAAAGAGGTTGGATGTCTCCAGGGGACCTTCTGAATACCTGTTTGGATCTGACCTGCAAGAGAAAAATTGAAAGAATACAAATAGACAAGAGCCTCTTTAAAGGGACTTGAGGTATTTTTCAGTAGGGAAATGTAGCCCATCTGCAGCAGAAAATTCAACAGGTGCTCACAGGATTTCCAACCGTATCTCCTACAAGCACAGGATTTCAGGAAGGGGAGGGGGATATAGGGAGAGGGGCTTGGGGCTGCAGCAAGGACAGATATGAGGAGGGGAATAAACAGGGATGAGTGTAGGACAGAAGAACAATGGGAGGCTAGAACATGGAAGAGGTGAGGATTAAGTTTCCTACTTGTAAAGCCTGCTTTCACTAACAGAGCGCTTTATTAGCTGTGGCTGGCTCCGTACATATAACTGGCTGAGCTATACAGAGCCCTACTGGGGCTCAAGGAGAACCCCACATCAGTCCCTCTACAAAGAAACAGCTGCAGAAATACTGGGACTTAGCCTTCTCTTTTTTAGGCTGAAAAGGTCCAAGAGGGGATTTGGTACCAGCTTACCACTACATCAGGAGCTCGGTGAACAACTGTTCACCAGGGCACCCTTGGGGAAAACCAGGAGTAAAGTCTACAAACTCCTGGAAGATTGCTTCAGGCTCAACTGTAGGAAAAACTTCTTCATAGCTGCTGTGTCCAGACTGTGGAATAAGGTCCCTTCAGGGGTGGTACAATCACCTACCCTGGAGATCTTCAGGAAGAGACTGGACGGTCACCTTGCTGGGGGCACCTGACCCCAGTTGTCTTTCCTGCCTGGTGCAGGGGGCTGGACCTGATGATCTTGTGAGGTCCCTTCCAGCCCCTTACAGTCTATGAATCTATGACTACAGCCTATCTATACCTAAGAGTGAGTCATGGCCAAGGGCATTAAGAACTTCCCCCATAGGCTTCCCCCAGCAGGAGATCCTTGTCTTGGGGAGAGTGGCCCATTGTTTCAAAGCCTCCACTCCAAAGTATACAGGACTCCTTTACCTCAGGGCTGGGGTAAGTATGATTATTCCCACTACCTTGGAAGTAGAAGTACAGAGTCAGTTTTGCTATGTTTCAAAGCTCTGTCTTGAACAGTCTAAATATTTCGAGCCTGATTTATGACCTTCAGTGAGTTGTTTCATGCATTTGGGCCTTGTTCATGTTTAATCAGGATCCAGATATTACTTTTCTTCCATTTCTTGTCAGTCTTAGGTCCGATTAGATTAGCAGCTCTTTGAGGGAACAGATTCTTTCAAACTATGTGCACGTACGTTACACCAAGGACAATGGGGCCCAGGGCTTGGTCTGGGACTCTCGGCACTGCTGTAAAACAGAAACGTCATCGGCATTATCATGCCTTTTCATTGTAAATGGCCAATTTTAAACATTTGAAAATTGTCTGCCTACACATGCATGGAAGAGGATTTCCTGATATTACAGATCTGCTAAGAGTTTCATATGGAAGATATGAGGCATGGTATCAATCAGCATCGGCTGGTATCAATCAGCTGGTATCTGCTGACTTCTGTGCAACTCAGCTGATCTACACCAGCCCGAGAACCTGATCAAGACGAGAAGAGCCATCATCAGCTCTACACTATGTCAGATGCCTTGTGGTGTAGGAAGTCCAATGTTCAGAACAGGGAATGGGATGAAAATAGGAGAAAGCACCCTTAGACACTCTTGACAGACACCCACCCACAAAATGTTGTGTGACATGGAGTAGGAGTTTAAAAGAAAGGCAGAGGTTTCCTCCTGGATACTCCTTGTTAAGTCTTGATAAGAGTTGAATACTGAAATACCTAATGGGAGGAGATGAACCAAAAGAAATTGAGCAACCGATTCATATTGCACTGAAATCATATTACAAGAGCATGGGTTCACACCACGTACCTGCAGAGCTGGGTTGTGGGTGGGGCAATCTGCTTCCCTGTAAAAATGTTTCATCATCTGTGTCTGTAACAAGTTTATCACATCCATGAAAGGTGTTAACACCTGAGGCAGAAAAATGGTGAGAGTAGGGAGCAGGGGGGCAGGAAACCTTGCTTTACTCACACCTGTGTCATGGTCAAGTCATGGCATGAACTCAGATAAGTCACACCACCTGTTGGCCCCACTTTCCCTATTGAAGGAAGGTAGATAATGATATTAATGCAACTTGGAAACCAGCTTAAGAGTCCCACCAAAACCATTAATAGAACCATTGTTCATTCACAATCTGAGGCACCCGGCCAATTGCCCTTTGTCACAAAGCTCAATAATCAGAGCCACCTAATGCTGCTTCTAGTGGAGCCCAACCTGGCTAACAAGTCTGTTTGTAAAGTGCACTTTTATGGAGCCAGAGGCCAACCGACCCCTCACTGATGCTTTTAACTGCTGCTCAGTGTGGGCAGCAGCACTGAAGGACAGCTTGGAGATTCCTGTTGTGATTCTCAGCATCTCTTTCATGGCCTGTGACTGGAGCCAAGCAACTGGATTTTTAACGAAGTTCTCTGAAAATGGCAAGTAGCATCAGGATCATTATCTCTAAGTGCACAAGATTCATCTCAAAGCAAGAGTAGCTATCTGAGAAAAGTATGCACTAAGTACAATGAAATAGAGAAAGGCAGCTATTCCAAGCTGTGCGTGCTAGCACAGCAAAAAAAGGCACAATAAAATCCAAGATCGCTGACATCGATAGAACTTCACTTGCTCAATAGTCCATGGCCGCTAAATGCACTGACCATCAGAAAAGCAAAGGCTGCACTTATTTAAGAGGAAAGAAATTACAAAGTAGCTGGGGGAAACAGCTTGAAAACTAAATCAGATTCATGGCTTTCTCTAGAAGAAATCTACTAAGATAACAGAGTCCTGCCGTTGAACCTGGCGTTAGCATTCACAGTGCAAAGCTGTTACCAGATTCTTCTGTTTTTTGCCATTGGATTATATCCAGCAAGGCATTTGTTTTGTTAGTAGCAAAGGAATTCAGTACCTTTACAGTACTGGGAGAAACAAGGTGTGGTCCATGGGTTGTGTGAGGTCTGAAGAGAGAGATTCACAGGGGAAAAGGAGTGTGGAGACAGAAAGGCATTTGAGGGGAAAGGACAGACTTGGTAATGGGTGGAACCTGCAGCATGTTAACAGCCATTTCTTAGCAGCCATTTGCTAGCTGGGGGGCCTTTTTTGTCATGTAAAAAGTCCTGGACACCATATAATCCTGGGCTGAGTTTAGCTTGCCATGCTGAGAGAAAGCTAGTCACCATTTTTAGCACAGACCTGGGAGTGTCACAAAGGAGATTTGCACTCCTTGCTTTTGGACAGAGTGTATGGGATAGCTCTGAAGTAACTTTCGCTCTTCTCTGACCAAAGTCTTGACTGGTCCCACTGGGACCTCTGCTGAGCATGAAGGGCTGGTCAACCCAACCCAGGAAGTCAGGCTAACCTAAAAGTGAGTGCAAGCAGAATCTGATTACTCGACGCTCCTGCTAATTATCGAGCATGACTGTAACTTTGGAGACATTCCCACGGAAGTAGCGCTGTCTAAAGTGCACCGCCTGTAGGGTGGTTGTGTGCCTGTGTCAGTTGTTTTCCTGCTCATTGAACAGGGTGAAGACATTTGCCACTGATTTATAACAGTGTCAACACCAGACACACACACAGAGCCAACAAGTAGCTCTCCCAAGCTATTTTGGGAATCAAAGTTGGGGAACATCCATTTATTTCTATACCCAGAACCAAGGTCTCATGGCAGCCTGTGCAGGGATGCGACTGAGGTTCTTACTTTACCCTGTGGGCGTATAGACCAAGTCACACGCGCACTCTCCACAAGAAGCACTTCCTACAGGAACGGAGGCAGAGAGCTTCCAATTCCCTCTGTGATTGTGATCTCCAGGCACAAAACTCTCTATTAACGAGATTCAAACCTATGTCCAAGCCACAATTAAGGCAGGATCCAGATTAGACCATGACAGCTTCCAAGAGTTTCCATGTGGACCAGTTTCTCTAAGTTAGCTTCTGGAAAAAGACAGGTTTCATTAGATAACAAGCCAGAATTATTTGCATGTTGCCTTTTGTAAATACAGCCCAGCAATCAGTTTCCTGCAAGACTGAAATCCAGGCCTCCGTCATGATCAGCCACCACCACAGGCCTGATGGAGCAAAGCCAGGTCCCCTCTGCCACACCAACTCCAGCTGGTTCATTAGGATAATTTAGTGCCTGCCTCAAAATAAAGCCTGTTTGCCTGTACAAAGGCACATGTGGTCCTACTGCTCAGCCAACCTGCTGTCAAAAAAACAGTGAGCCTTAAGTTTAATCCAGAGGCCTTGTTTACGTTGGAGAAGCTTGCTAACCATGGGGCACCTGCAACATCTCTTATCCATTACCAGTATTTTCTGTGGGTAAGCATGCCACCAAATGGAGTAGACATGATGCAAGTACAGATAAC